CCATGAACATTGCCCAAGACTGAGTCAAGCAGCGTGGCAAAGCTGCTGTCTCTAATCAGCCTCCAACTATTTACTAAAAGTGCATTATAAACTAATTCAGATTATCCACATTGTGTGACCAAGTGCGACATACAAACGAAAAGCAAAATAATAAAGAAATAAATCCTGTGGGTATGGCAGAGTCCTTTGCTGCATCTTTCTCAGACTCTCCGGGGAAGGACTAATGGGTTACGTGCGTGTGTGTGTCAGAATTACACACAGTCCGTGTTTCAGGGAGAGGCCTGCAGGTTTATAGCTAACCAGGCTGGATGGCAGGAAATCCCAGCTCTGCCACTGAGTCTACATGTAACCTTGAGCCAAGTCTTCCCCCTTTCCTCGGAGGTCTTGTCTGCAAAAAGGCAAAGAAGCAATACTTGCCTACATTACAGAGACAGCCTTTGAGCCTGAATAGTTGTGATGCTCTTTGAAATACTGGGATGGATCACACGGTGGAAGCGCTTAGTAGTGCTGCTGTTCAGTCACACCATCCTCAGGGCTTGGATTAGAGCAGTAACTGGTAGAGGTTGTGTTTAAAACATAAATCCCTTGTTTGAAGATGGAGTCTTATGCTGAAAGACTCCTTGATGAGGTTGACCAAGTGGAGCAGGAGGATTTTTAATTAACACAGAGCGCCAGGTTTTCATAGGCTTGTGCCACAAATTGTATCTATAGTCGGTAGTATAACTGGGGGCGGGGGTGACAGCAGGGTGCCAGCCCAGGGTACTGACTAATCAGGGTGTTGACTATAGCCTTTAGGGTTTGTCTTGAATAAGGCAGGAAGAATTTCCCTGAATCTTTCCATTTGCACGTTTCTAACATGCCCATCATTTCAATGCTGTTCAGCATGATAAAAGATGTGAACAGATTAGGAAGGGATGGGGAAATTTAAATAGCAATAAGCATTCAGATGCACAGCGACCATCTAACAACTGAAATAAAAATGCAGAAACAGAGCAAGAGGAGTTTAGGATCAGGAGGAAGCACTGGCATGAAATATCAGGGCCTAATATTGTCCCTTTAAATGACCCATTCACATGAACGGAAATATTTGGGGTTAAAATCTTGGCTCCGCTAGTGTCAGTGGCAAAGGTCCCTTTGACTTCAGTGGGGTTATTTTTAATTTTCTTGGAATCGAGGGGTTTTTTTTGCTTTTAAGAAGGTCCTCATCTGTCTCTGAAGGGAGATCCCAGTGCTATGCATTTTACTGTTTGATCCAAATGGTCTTGTTCTTACCTCGAGCTTCACTTTAGTTTGCACACAGCATGGAGGTTCTCCTTAGTCTTTCATTACCTTTACATCCCACTATCCAATCCCCTGTGTGGTAAAGTAAAAGCATTTGGCTGGTAACAATTAAGCAACAATCCTGGGAAATAGGATGAATGGTCCCATTTGGAAATAAGGAAGAGATATTACAAGAGCTCACGTCAAGCTGTTTTGGACATGAATGATTCTGCTGGACCTTGACACACTGGTATTTCATGGTGCGTCGGTCACTGCAGCAGCTCAGACCTCACCGGTACTTCAGAGTGTGGGCATTGAGAGTAAATACGATTTTTCTAGCTTCTGTAAGGCTCAGAAGACCTGACCTAGGCAAGGTTTACAGGAAAGTGCTCTGTGAAAAAACTGAAATGCTTCAGAAGATGGTCCTACTCTTCCTTCTGAATCGCTGCTCATCAAGGGAGCCAGCACCGGAGTAGGGCTTTGCTGGTAGTGTAGCTCCACTCCAGCTGGAAGCTTGTTGGTGGTCAGATGTAGCATCACGGGAAGGGATATTGAGAAGAGTGTTGGAGCAATGTTGCTTAAGGGACCTGTGATAGATCCATTATTGAAAGCCACTGCTCACAACCCATCATGAAGCGGGCAAAGAACGGTGGCGTATTTTGATGGGCATCCGTACTTCAGAAGGGTCCTCCACAGTGCTTTTGGGTTGACAGTCAAAGGCTTTCAGCAGTCTCAGTCCTATCTTTAACTCCAACTAGTAAATACATCTCCAGTTTTGTTCCATGGTGCCCTGGCAGAATTCCCATTGCTCTAACCTGACACACAATTTTACACCTCCTTGTTGTTAAGAGGCCGTATAGTGTTGCTGGCATCTGCGCAACTTCTATCTCCCACCCAAGAAATGGCTTTTCCACGTTGAATGAAGTCATCCCACCTTGCCTATAGTTTGTAATATTGTAAAGTGCTATGAGCTTAGCAAAAGGAGCCATGAATCACCCATCGATGCTAAACAACAATTCAGTATTTCAAACTGGAAGGGGTTTTTGTTGTTACTGTTGTCAGAAAGCCTGGCGTTAGCAGGAGGTATTTGTTTTGAATATTCCTTCATAATGGGACTGTTGTTCTGGGAAATACTCCAAGACAAGTGAGATGCTCTGGGATGCATTCCAGGGTAAATGAATTGCTTTGAAAAACGTTGGACTTTTAAAGGAAGGGCTTGCAGACCTGATGTAGCCAGTAACCACAGTGGTCAAGGAGAAGCTCCAGAGAATATTCTGTCTTCCTACAATGCTTTGCAAAACTAACATAGCATTGAAACTTGCCACCTACTTCTCCAGGTGGAGTCTTTCACTCTCAATTATTGCAGGCTCACATGCAGGTATTTAGTTCCTATTGGCTGAGATAAAGATTCAGAAGTCATTTTTATACAAATGTGTCACATTCCTGATTCCTGTCCTTCTCAGGCTCAAAGACATCTGTGCAGTCGCAGCCTGCAGACACCAGTTCTCTCCTGCAAATCCCAAAAGTAAATTTTCACCGCATACGACCTCATGACAATCTAGATGGGGAGGGCAGACCCAAGACTCCCCGGCCTGTGCATTCTCGTTCTGCAGAAAGATTGCTTCGCAGACAGGTAAGCAAATTTACCCTTGTGAATTTATAGTAGCTCCGTGTTGAGGGATTATAAAGTTAATAAGGTGAATTCATAGTGCTGCTAGCACCTGCAAAACTGCCCTATCCCACCCAAAAGCGGCTGCTTTTCCATGTTAGAGGAAGTCATCCCTACCTGCTCATGGTTTGTATCATTTGCCACACCGGTGCCATGGTGGCTGAGCAAGAGTTGTAAATCTCATGTAGAAATGGAAAAGATTTATAGGTTTTGAAGAGAATCCCATCCCAGGCTCTCTAAAGAGCCTCGCTGTGGGGTGTCACCTCCTTTGGCAGTGTGCCTCACTAATTCCAGCTGGTTATTCTTGAATCCTTCCGCCTTTCATCCATACAGCCAAATGTTCCTTTGGGGGCTCGTGGAGTTCACTGACCCACTTCTGATCAGTCATGGTTTGATTTTCCCAACACTTGAGAGGACCCAGGGATTATGGATTATGCTCCCAAGCCAACTCTGCCTGTGACTTCTGTAATTCCTTCTACTGGGGAAGAAATATCACACTGGCAGAGAAATGCTTTGCTTTGCTTTTGCTTTTCCTCTATTTTATTTTGAGGAAGCCGGATACTTTTTCTGAACAAATAGAAGCAGGACACGTACTGTTTTCTAGGGGGGTAATCTACAATTGGATTACTTTTGTTTTGCATCTAGATGAAGAGTTGACCTTATTATAAGAATAGGAACTAAGAATTCAAAAGGGTCTGAAATGTATTAGGAGCCTAAATCCCATTTATAGCTATTTTCTAACTCCCGGTGACATAGGCTTTGCTTCAACTAAGTACTTAAGCACATGCTCAACTTTAAGTTCATCTCCGTTCAGTAAAACACTTATCCTTGTGCTGCTGTTCCACCAACTTGAAGTTAAGTACATGTTCAAGTATATTGTAGAATCAGGACTGAACTAAACGCAGCAAATTTTCTAGTTTGCCTTTCTCGAGTACTTCATTCCCTGTGTCTCATTATGGAATTGAAGGGTGGATTATGCTGTTTATACCTCTAATCATTTTTTAGGACAGTAACAAAAATGGCTAGAGGTCTAGAAAAGCTGACATATGAGGAAAGGTTGGAAGACTTGGGATTGTTTAGCCTAAAAAAGAGAAAGCTGAGCAGGGTTTGATAAAGTCTTCACATTTAAAAAAAAAAAAAAAAAAAAAAGTATAAAGAGAATGAAAATCAACTCTTCTCTCCAGCCATTGGGACAGAACAA